GGTATATATGTCTGTTTGTCTGTATGTATGTCTGTATGTATGTATGTATGTACGTACGTACGTACGTATGTATGTATGTATGTATGTATGTATGTATGTAGGGTTTCGGATCGAACACAGCCAGGCGAGCTGTGTATAGCCAGGAACCCCTAGGTGCTCCGTGCACAGAGACGCCATACCGCGGTCGCCGGCTTGGCATAGAAAGCTGCGCTCCCTTCGTTCCAAGGCCAGGAAGGCTATCCACCGAGCTCGTGGTGAAGGAGTTCGGCCGCCAAGACGGGCCCTGTCTAGACTGGCATCACATCACACCAGGCCGGCCTATCGTGAGCTGAGGCAGATGGGCCGAAAGGAACAATGGGAACAACGCCCCGGAAAGTCCTACGGCAAGGGTTATGGTGGCTGGCCATCGGCACAGCCCTCCTCGTGGCCCAAGGGTGGCGGCAAATGGCGAGGCAACGGCCAATGGAAGCAAGATCGTCACAAGGAGGAGCCGGAGACGCCCCTTTTCCCCTCGTTCGAGATGATGCCTTCCTCGAGCAAGGACGAGCACAAGACGACCCCACCGATTGGGCGAAGAACGGAGGATATGCAGGTGGACGAATGGAGCCTGGAACCTGGAGAGTACGCCAGGAACATCCAAAAGACGTTGAACTTCTTCCGCAAGGCCGAAGGCAGATGTCGCCGAATCGAAGAGGAGAAGCAGGGCCTGGACAAGAAGTGGGAAAATTTCCAGGTGGAGCTGCGACAGGCCTACATCAAGGAGCGCAGCAAGTACCACGAGAGGCTGGCCAAGCTACAGACCGAGGCGGACGAGACCATGCAGGCCAAGGACGATGCCCTGAAGGACCTCAAGGCAGCCTTCGCCCCTACAGCTCGTGCCAAGATCCCGAAGGACAAGGACAACGAGGCGGAAGCCGCGGCGGAGCTGACGCAGCTACTGCAGAATCCGGATGGCGAAGAAGAGGGTGGCTTGGCAAAAGTCCTCTTGGAGGCTATGCACCACGGCGGCCTGGAGAACGAGAGCAACCGCAAGGAGATCCTGAAGGCCCTCGAGAAGCAGGACAGGATTGCAGCTATGAGGACACCGAGCAGGAGGCGACCCACCTACACTACCACTACCCCACCCCCGGTGGCAAGGCAGAGGGGCGAAGAGTATGTGGCGACGGAAAAGCCGCCGGTGGACAAGGAGGAGCCGGATACGAGCAACGGCGGAGTACCTGCCCCTTATGCATCGTCGCCCTCCACCCACAAGACACATGTGGATGGCCCGGACACGAGGCTGAGGTCCCGATCGAAGACAGTCCCGCGGACACCGATCAAGCTGTTGGGGAGGGCCCCGGCAGTGACCAAGCCAGAGGGCAGTGCCTCAGCCGGAAGCTCGAGAGCAAGCGAGGACAGCCACCTGGACCTATGGAGGTGGAGGATTCCGAGGACGAGATGGTGTCGGAGCTCCAGGCAAAGGATGGCCTCAAGGAGACGGACATCGAGTAGGTGGCTGTATGCCACCTGTGGAGCTAAGCGGTGGGCTTTTTCGGCCTGTCCCACCGTGGGAGCTCGAACCATCCACCAGCACAGTGGACGGATGGCTTTATGAGGGCGGCTTCTTCGGTCAGTCTGCCCAATTGATGACGGCCAGGGTCAACACCCCATTTTGGCTGACCTGGCACACGACATTAGCAGGGCTTAGTCGGTCTGTCCCTGCGACAATTTTGTACAACAGCACTGCCTTGGAGTTCGAGATGACCGAAGGCAGCATGGGTCCGCGGCACGGTCCTACGGGAGACCACGACCGCTTACAAGATCGAGACGAAGACCCTCATCTCAGGATCTTTGACATCTTCGACATTGGGGCAAAGATGCATCATACAGCTGAGGAGATCTTTGTCGCATGGGAACCTGCGCTCCGGCAGGTCGCCAGTGGATGGGTCTGCACTCTGCAGGCAATACAGCTTCTGGCTCTGATGATGTTGCTGGCGGCATCTTGTAGACCTATATACAACGGCCGGGCACCACTGGGACGTCTATGCTGGCTATGCATGGCAACGCAGAAAGTGGAGGCCATGCCCACACCTCCGAGGCGCCGACCGAGCACTCTCCCGCGGGCCACGGACCTGGAACTGTGGGCCAGCGGACAACTTACCATGCAGGAACAGCTGGCACGGGCCATGGCAGACCACATTCTGACGAGCCCCCTGGAGCGGTCCAATGGAGAAGCGCCACCGCCAGACTTCCACCGGCCACTTGATGAAGAACCATTGCCCCTCCGGGTGGTGCCGGCGAATGCTGTTCATGTTACACTGTGGGCGACGACCCCCTACTTTGAGGCGGAGACCGTGGACGTCGAGCTGAACTTCCCCCTCAGCATGCACATGGTGAAGCGAGCCCTTCGGGAGTCCTTCCAAGTCATCCCGGAATGGGCAACAGAAATTTTGCCTACAGTTCCTCAGCTGGGGGACGATTATGCCAGCTTCATTGTCTTCCCGGGCTGGCTGCGACAGGCAAACCTGACGGTGCAGGTGATCGATGCCAGAGAAGTGCATGGGCCTGTGTTCTCATTTTATCACGAAGGGCATGTCAGCAGGGCCGCTGTACTCAAGAAGCTCGAGGAATTCGACCTCCACGAGGTAGAAGTCTTCCCATATGGCAGCCCGCTGCCCATCGAGGCAGGCTCTCCTGTGGAACCTGTCAATGGTGGCATCCTCAAAGCGGTGCCACGAGGCAGAGTATGCACCTGGCACGACGACCTTACAGATCGGCTTGAGGATGATGAGCGCTGGGACCCCAATGGTGAATTGCCAGAGCCGATCGAAGGCGTTTTCACGGTGTTTCAGTCCACTACCGACCATGTCGTCGACGAGCTCGACGTCGAACACCCCCGACCACACGACGTGGTGGCACGGGAGCTATTTGACGGTGTCTTCTATGTCAAGTTCCCGACGGAAGGGCCTACGAGACTTGCCTGGGGTGGCCGGCACATCACGGAGTGTGTGGCGGTCATCGACTACGACTGGCCCATGGAAGATGATGCGGTGATCATCTTTGTCGATTTGCGGGGCCTCGGGCTTTTCATGCAGTGGGTCCGGGTCCCAGACGCGGTCTTTGACCCGACGGCTTACTATGAATCATTGCAGCTTGTGGAGCTGCAAGGTTGGACCCTCACCATTGGTGGTGGGGAACCAGTAGACGACCACCGGATCCGGGTCAGAGATGGCGAACTGATCGAGTTGTACATGACCCTGACGTCTGATGCATCTACATCGGAGGAGGAGCCTACGGACGAGGACAGCGAATCGGGGCCAGACGATGATGGCTCTGATATCCTGAGGAGCCCGAGTTCGAGCATGGACACGGGCCCAAGGCCAAACATGGGAGGGCCCCCGGCTGGCCCCCCCCCCACCTCAACCAGTCAGACCTCGCAGCAGGAGCCCAAGGCGCAGCCCTGAGCGAACTCCTGAAAAAACGATGCTACAATGGTGCGGCTGGCTGACCACCTGCCGACTACAACCTATGACATCGGCGAGGACAAGGTTGAATTGCCACATTGCCCGGCTGACATCGCCCAGGCATTCCAGGTGTGGCCACCCGAATGGATGCAAACGGACGTCTTCGAGGAGGACTACAAGCAGGAGACAGCGGTGGCGAAGAAGGAGCTGGTGCACTGGTCACAGGTATTGGCTGCTGGAGGAGGATCGGAAGGGCTCAGTGCGGAGCTCTACGTGGATGGGTCGTACTTCAGCAAGAAAGGTACCAGTGGCTACGCGGTGGCGGTGTTCATCAGGTGCGCTGGTCTCTTAGCCCTATTTGGGCTTTTTGGCGATCAGATCCTCGGAAGCTCGGCGGGGTTGTGGACTGATGGAGCCCCACCGGCCCTCTACGCCGAACAAGTGGCAGTGGCCACGGCTCTCCTGTGGATCGGGCAAAGCATGCACTACATGAGGGCGCAAGAATACAGGATCTTCTTTGACTGCCAAGTTGCAGGATGGGGAGCCAACGGCCAGTGGAGTGGCAATGGCGGCCTCTCTGAGAAGATACGAGCCCTGGAGCAGTATGTGCAGGGCCTTGCCGACAACCATTTGTACTTCGAGCACGTCTACTCTCACCAAGGCCATCCTTGGAACGAATTGGTGGACGTGGTGGCTAAACGAGCAGCTGGTGATGCGGCTGACCTTGCGAAGCCGCCTTGGGCCAACTGTGCTGCATTCCTACGACTGGATATGACGTGGATGGCTGCCATAGCTCGATGGGGACCTGACCAGGTGATCAATCAAGCTGCTGGCAAATGGCTGGTTATCCGCGACCCTGGGTTGCCACAGAGCAGCCCCCTATCACCGGAGGCCCTTGTGCCTATGGTTGGGCAGCACAGCGCCAAGGAAACGGCCAAGGACAACATGTTCTACATGAAGTGTGCCACCATCAATGTGCAGGGCCTGAGGGCCAAGAACAAGTTCCTCTCTGACCAGTTCAGTTACGAGGAATATCAGGTGGTCTTTTTGCAGGAGACCAAGACAGATGGCGGCACCTGGGTGCCTGGAGATTTTATGCGGTTTTCCACGGATGCTGAGAAGCATTGGGGAACGGCCATCTGGCTGCATAAATCCCGAGGACTCCTGTCTTTCAATGGCACACCTCTCCTTGTGGAAGAACAGGATGTCTACATACGGACCCAAACGCCACGGCTGCTCATTCTTGAAATTCGAAAGGGCGGCCTTCGATGCATTCTTTTCTCAGCACATGTGCCACATGAAGGCAAACAGCGAGAACGAGTGCAGTTCCTGCTTGCTCTACAGAAGCATTTACATCAAGCAGGAGAGGCGGACATCATCGTTGGTGGTTTCGATGCCGATGGCCGCCCACCTTGCCACCAGCACCCGACCACGGGATCTGTCGAGTACGGCGACAGTGATGTGGCTGGTGAACAGTTTGTGGCGGCCCTCCGCTCTTGTGCCTTATGGTTGCCAGCCACCTTTGAGGACATTCATGGTGGGCCCAGTGCGACATTTTGCCACGCAAACGGCCAGCTCCACCGCATTGATTTCTTGGCTGTTGGTGGCACCGCCTGGATCCTTCAGGCTGCAAGTTGGGTAGATGCGACCATCGACCTTGCCAACAGCAGGGACGACCACTATGTCAGCAGCCTCACCATGACAGGGCAAACCAGACAGGGTGCTACTACTCAAAGGCTCTGGAGGCCCAGATTTGACAGGGACAAGATGAGCTCTGACGTGGGAAAGAACATTTTGGCAAAGGCGTTTGAGGCTTATCAGCCCCCGCCTTGGTGGGTGCATGTGGATCTGCACTGCCAGCACCTCCAGAAGTACCTGAACCAGGTCCTTGCGGAACATTTTGCCCCTCCCACAAGGAACAAAGCTACGTACATCCCTGCGGAGGTCTGGATATGGAGGGAGCGCAAGCTTGCGCTCAAGCGCCGCACTGGCTCGCGGAAGCCTTTATGGCGACAGGCTGTTGCAGCAGCCTTCCGACAGTGGCGATTTGGTGCGGAGGACATGGTGCGACCCCTCCTGCGGAAGCAATCTCTGCTGTACCAAGTGACGGCGAGCGCCATCGGCTTTATCACGGCCCGTATGAAGAAGGCCATCCACACCGCCAAAGCAACGTATCTGCAAACTCTGGTCACCGATGGCCCACAGAATGCGGTTGACATTTTGCAGCGGGCCAAAAGATGTGGCCTTGGAGGCAGGACAAAGATCAATGGCCACCGACCTCTCCCCCTTCTTCTGGATGCCCAGGGCAACCCGGCCAAGTGCCAGGATGATCATGACAGGATCTGGCTGAAGCATTTCAGTGACCAGGAGTACGGCAAGATCATGACGCCGGCCGAGTTCCTGAAACAACAAGATGTGGCAGGCCACCTTGGGCGAGAGGTCGTATGGGAGTTGAACGATCTACCTACGGTACAGGAGATTGAGGCTATTTGCCGAACAGCCCCTAAGAACAAGGCCGTTGGCTTGGATGGACTTCCAGGTGAAATCCTCCGTGCATGCCCGGCTCAGGCGGCCATGACCCTGGCGCCGCTCTTCTTGAAGGCAGCTTGCGGCCTACAGCAGCCTGTCCAGTGGAGGGGAGGTGTGATCTACTCGGCTTGGAAGAGAGCGGGTGAAATCTCGCTCCCGGCGAGCCATAGATCCCTCTTCATATCCAGCGTGGTGGGGAAATGCTATCATCGCCTGCTGCGAAATAAAACGCACCGGAACCTGCAGGCTGAGCTACACCCACTACACCTTGGAAGCAGAGCTCAGGCCCCACTGGTTTTTGCGTCGCTCTATGTCTTCTCGCGATTCAGAGCTTGCCGAGCGGCCCGCCGCTCCATGGGCATGATCTTTCTGGACACCACTGCCGCCTACTATCGAGTACTGCGGGAGGCGGTGGTGGGAGACATCAACCAGGATGACACCATCATATGGCTCATGAAGAGATTCAACATGGGCCCCGAGGAGATGGATGGTTTATGGGAAATCATCCATGGTGGCGGGGTTATGGCAGAGGCTGGTGTTTCAACCGGGCTTCGGGCCATGATGAAGGATGTGCACCATCGCGCATGGTGCATCACACGACATGCTACTGGGAGCCGGGTGGCGGTCACTCACGCCGGCAGCAGACCCGGCGAATCGCTCGCCGACGCCATTTTCGCGTACATATACTCTCGAGTACTTGGGCGAATCTGGGAGGCAGCATGTGGGGAAGAGATCCTCGGCGCAGCCAGGGCAGCCGTGGACGAAGGCGTCTTCAGCAACCGGGCCATGGCGAAGACGTGTCTATTCGAGACATCACATGGGCGGACGACGCGGCACTGCCCTTCGATGACGGGGACCCGGACCGATGCATCCGTAAGGGGAAGCGCCTCGCATCCCTTACGATTGACATCTGCAGGGACTTCGGGCTGCAGCCTAACCTGAAACGGGGCAAGACAGCGATTGTCCTGTCCTTGGCCGGAAAAGGTATTCGGAAGGCCCGAGAGAACCATTTTCGACATGGCCGCAGCACCCTACAGCTGCTGGACCTCCAGGAGGAGGTACATGTGGTCCCTCAGTATGTGCACTTGGGTGGAGTTGTGGAGCCCCAGATGCATATGAAGGCTGAACAGCGGCGACGACTGGCTATGGCGGGAGCAGCTTTGGAGACGGGCAAAAAGCTGCTCTTCTTGAACGCGGACATCCCGCTCCAAGTGCGAACCAAGCTCTTCGAGATGTCCATCCTGGCCACGTTCTTCAATCTGGCTATATGGCTCCCCCACGGTGAGGCATGGCAGGCGCTCAGCTCTGGTTATACCCGAATGCTTCGACGACTGCTTTGCCACCGGTACAAGGGCGACGCCATCTTTGGCATCCCGGCGCCGTTTGTGCACATCGCCACGGGCAGGTGGAAACTGGAGCTCCACGCTGTCAAAAGTCGGCTGGCTGCCTTGGTTTCAATTGCCAGGACGGGCCCGGATGAGCTCTGGGCAGTTTTACAGGAAGAAAGAACATGGCTGCAAGTGGTTGCACAGGATTTGGCCGCCTTCAAGGCCAAGTATAAGGACATGCCCGAACTACATGCTGGAGACTGGCCTCGATGGCGGAACTACTTGGTCAACAATGCTGCCCCATTCAAGCTCCGCGTGAAGAAGATGCTCCAGGAAGTTCACGACAGAACGTGCAGGTTAGATGCCATGGTTGTTGGGATGTGGCATTTTTACCGGCAGCTCTGCGAACTGCTCCCGGGTGCCCAGAAACAGGTCTCTGGTTGGAGCTGCCGTGGCTGCCAGAAGACTTTCAAGTCTAGGGGCGGCCTGGGAGCACATTTCTTCAAAAGCCATGGCCGTGAGGCAGAACACCGACGATGCATCAGAGGATCGGTGTGCCTCGCCTGTGGCCGACAGTTTTGGTCCTCTATCCGATTGGGGCATCATCTGCGGGATTCAAGGCCATGTGTGCAGCACCTACTGCGCCAAGGGCACACTGCTGCACACACCCTACCAGGGCATGGAAGCAAAGAGTACCGCAAACGGGCGGTGGATGAGTATAACATGGACCCCTCGAGCCAACTGATGAGCCCCTCCGCAGCTGAGGGCGAGGACGGTCTCTGGCCCGAATGCCAGAAGCAGGCATCCAGAGAGATCAGCGAGGTCCTACTGGAGGCTGACCAAGGACAAGATGAAGCGACGATCGTGACCGCGATGCTGCAAGTCTTACAGCAGCACCCGCTGTACTTTAGCGAGGAAGAGGCCATCCTGGGCAAGGCGAAACAGGAGGTCGACACCTTGACCGAGGCGGACGTCAGAGGCACGGGTGCGGAAGGCAAGCTGGACCTTTTCCGAAGGGTCTTTAGCTGCCAGCAGGACTGGCACATACCAGTAGTCGACGTCGCTGAGAATGAGAAGATGCAAGCAGTCTCGCTAGCGTCTTTCCAGGGTGAGTGGCGAACTCTGGATTGGCCGGAGCTGCTGAGAATTTGTACAGATTGCGGGACCCCCGACGCTGCACCTGTAATCCTGGATTTGAAATGGGAAGCTTCGAATTTCAAGCCCAGTGGTGCTTCTGAAGCCGAAGCCGCGATAGATGATCCAATGTGTTTTGTACCCGGTCAGGTCAGTGCCCTATGCCGACAAGCCTTACAGGGCAAGGTCAGCAAAGTAGCGGCGCCGGCTAGTTTCTGGGAAAGCCCCTTTGGCCATGTCTTCCGAAGCCTTAGGGCGTCTATGCAAACTTAATTAGAGCTGCGCCGACCACTGAATGCCTCGAAATGCCGAAAAATGTATGTATGTATGTATGTATGTATGTATGTATGTATGTATGTTTGTATGTATGTATGTATGTATGTATGTGTATATATACATATATATTTATTTATATGTACGTATTGCATGTATGTATCCGTGTCAGGTTTTCTCCACCTCATGTTATGTGCGAGGTGACGAGGAGGCGCGAGCAATCCGCCACAGGCTACGGTTGCGGCTGGGAGCCTTTACGTCCAAGAAGCTCGTGTCCGGAAAATCCCTACATGATGCTTGCCGCTCGGCGAGGTTTGGAGAGTAAGGGACCTAGCTATGGGCCCCAAATCATACTGTTGATGATAGAAGTCCTGCATTACCTTACGGACCCTAAACTATGGGAATGATGGTATAATCCTTATTATGGGTAATGCAGGATTTATATCATCAACCGTATGACCCTTATCAGAAGGACCCCGTCTGTTTGAAGTGCAGGCAGCTCGCTGGGCCTCACGCGGTACACCATCGAGGACATGAACGAGCTTGTGAACCTCTTGGCGGATTACATCGAGCTCACCTTTGAGGCACGGAAAAACCCTCAGGCCTCAATCAAGAGCACTCTCAGGTGAAGGAGACACAAACCAACCATAGTATCACGACCCTAAATCGCCAAGCCCTGGCTGGAAGGCATCGGAAGCGAGAATGCCGACGGGTCGGCGAGTCAGCAACTTTCTCCGCAGTTGGTCTCGTCCTGCCGCTCATCCTCCCTCGTTGTTCCCAAGTACCGACATTGTGCAGGACCCATTTGTGCAAGAAATAGTGACGGTGTACAATACTCCGCATAGTAGTACGAACGGGGCATCGCCTGGCAACGTGCAGCGCAGCACCGTCACTTCTCAAGTTATGCTACATTCCCATACTAAGCCCAGGCGAGTCCTCCACCAGCATGTTCGGCTTCAGACTGAGCGATGTGAACAATCTCGGCAAACCAGCATCTGGGCATTGAGGCTTAAGGTTCAGGGTCTAAGAGTCTAGGGTTTTTTCGGGGGCACCAGTCACTCCACGGTAGCTGGTAAGTTCGAGTTGCTCTCTTCAGGTTTTTGTTTTGTTCCCTGTGACAGCCGCAGCCGCCGCGGCGCTGCCCCCCCTTACCACGGCCAACAACAACAGCAGCAGAGCAATAGACATACTGCTGCTGCCGCTGCTGCTCCATTAGGGGTCCCTTGTGTGGAACTTCTATATCTCGACCAATCAAGTACGGTCTCCGTCCCCGGCCGTTTCTCTTTCTTTAAACAAAACAGCCCCCGCCGCCAGCAGCAGCAGCAGCAGCAGCAGCAGCAGCAGCGGCAGCAGCAGCAGCAGCAGCAGCAGCAGCAGCAGCAGCAGCCTAGCACCAACACCACGGTGGCGACGGAAGCAAGCTGTCTTGCAGCCGAACTTGTTCAGAACATCAGAGAACCTTCAACTCGCCGCGGTTTCCCTGCCAAAGGTCTGGCAATGGCCCAACATGGGCGCATCGGGGCGTGAGTCCTTTCATCGCAGTGCACCGTGGCTGAGCTTCAGTTTCTTGGGTTTTGTGCCTCGCCTCGCGTTTCGGGGTCTTCAGGACATGGATTTCTCGGACTGTCCGAGGAATCCGAGCACTAAGGGATCCTGCAAAACAGGCTTCGTGCGCCCCAAGAGAGCTATCCCAGTTTCTCTCTCCACCACTCCTCTGCAATGCAGCGCCCTTGTCTCCGTATCCTACACTTCTGACTCCAGGACCTAAGTCAAAGCAACGATCCAAGTCCTGAGCCCAAACTTGGGCCCAAATCCCAAGCTTTACGACAAAAAGCCCAAGCCCTAAGTGACACACTAAACCTTGAGCCTTAAACCTGAAAGCCAAAGCCGCAAGCCCTCCGAGGCATCCCTCAATGCCTACGTTGACCTGGCACCGCGCTGCAGCTCGGCTTCCCTCCTTTCGCGGAGAAGCCAGAACTCCCTACAGCCTAGAGAATCATCCCCAAGCTCTTGGAGCAAGTTCTCCTGAAGTTCCCCCTAGCTCCCTGAGAAAGGAAGTGCGCTTCGAGTCTTTCAAGCCTCTTACTTAGGCCACCTAAATGTGGTGCCGGCGCAGCCTCTGATGGACCTCTTCCTCGCGCAGGAGAGCTGATTCCATTTGCCGGGCCCCCCTAAGCAGAAGCAGAAAGTCCTGACAGAGGCCAAACCTCACTAGAAAAAAGGGGAAGGCCTGCTTGTCTCAGGCCCTTTCGCTTCGTTACATGGTCTTCCAGCCACGATCAAACATGAAACCCGTTACCCTCAACCCTAAACCCTAAAGCCCTATAAACCCATCTGAGCCCTAAACCCTAAACCCCCCAAGCCCTTCATCCCCGGAGGAGGGGGATGTGCACCGGAAGTGCTTCGGACCTCGCATCTTGAAGCAGTTTCAGGCCGGCAGCCGGGTGGTGTGAAAAAGGTTCCGAAGCTGGGTAGAGGGGGTTTTGGGTAGTCCTCCAAATGATGGTCCCTTTTAGGGTCCTGTTTATGAGGGTGCCGTACTATATTGGGGACCCACAAAGGGACCCTAATTTTGAGAACTACCCTTTTGGAGTTTTTGCAGTGGATGTATGTCCTCCGCCCTGTCGTCGGTTGTCAGGCGATGAAGGAGATCCTTTTGGCGGGAGCCGCTAGGCGTTGGAAACTCACAGCACGCTTCTTCGGGGATGCTGTCGGGGGTCTCCCGCTCCTTCATGTTGCGCACGCGCGTCAGCTCACTTCTACCTGTCTACCTGAGTTCGCGAAAAAAAGGAGCTCCTAACAGACTGGCAGATGCTAGCACCGTGCCGGTAATTTATTTGTGCAAGTTGTTTGAGCCCAAGGACCAAGGAGCATTTTCTGTTTTTCAGGGGGTTTGGATGACTCGCCGCTGGCTTCAGCACCTCCAAGGCCAAAGGAGCATTTTCTGTTTTTAAGGGGGTTTGGATGATTCAGCACCTGACGGCGTCCGAGGACACAAACCGGCTTGTTGCTGAGCTGACCTTCGTAAGAATCAACGATCTGGCGGCTCCACCGGAGCCGATGAACCTCCTTTTGTGCTTGCCTCAGATTATGTCAGATTGTTTTGCTCATGGAAGCAATTTGCTACGTCTTGCAGTGAGGTGCTTAGAGCCATTAGTGGCCGTCGTCATCATCGCTAATGGGGTCATGTGCCTGGATCCAATATAACATGTCCCAAGCGATGCTCACGGCAGGAGGATTCCGTGGGGGCCATCTCAGGATTGGTTTTCAAACGCACCCGTCGTGGGAATCATGGCCCTACTGGATCATCGCAGCTCCGGCTGCACGTTGGGTTGTACGATGTGCGTCACTCGTGTGAATCCATGATTAGCGTGCATGGCCACATAAGGTGGAAGCAGTCTTTGCGAGCTTTTTGGTGATGGAGATTGCTTTGCGCATGTATCTTCAAGGCAGGTTTCAATCTTGTCGTGCCAATGCTTCCGCATGTTGCACCGAGGCTGTTCTTGGCGGTAGCGGTTCCGTACTAATCGTAAATTTATACAGAACATCACAAGCAGCAGGACCACTAACAGCGTTGATACTGTCTGTGGTTACAGCAACAGTGGGAGAGGGTAACGAATAGAACGAGTCATGGTGCCAACATCACGAGAAGTGTGTCGACTGGTTCATCGGCATTTTGCCGCTCAGACCAACAGATGTTGCCTGGCTGTGGGGCCTGCATGCACCTTTTCCCCCGTGCGAGGTCGCCGAACCTTCTTCAGAGGGGCGGAGCTGCAGCATCCTGGCCTGCACTGGGTTGGTGGCTTTCTGAGGTCACTGATTCTCGGGAACTTGAAAGGAACCTCGAAGATCAGCGTTCACATCCCACCATCGATAGGTTTTGCAAGATACTGTGTGCCGCCCGATTCTGATACATCATACCGCACTCTGCCACTGTACTTCCTTGCGCCTTGTCGGACGCGCTGATCTGCCCAGGCATGACTGTGTCGGCGGATCCGCCTTTCCTTAACGGCATTTGACTAGCGTGTGCCCAAACATGGCTCTCCGCAGTCCGACTCTCCCGGCGCAGGCGGACACATTCAAAACATAGCAAACTAAGCCTCGGCTGTGTTGGCAAGAGTCAAGAGAGAATCCGTAGCCGAAGCGCTCGGTGTGGGAGACTCTCGTCGTGATGAGCGCCGACGGGCATCTGTACGAATCGTCGGAGTTGCAGAGAGACTGCGTCGTAGTGCCGTCACCAAGCTTTTGAAGATCTGGAAATTGATTTCGACGATCGCAGTTCTTCGCGGTTTCAGGAAGCGCGAGCACGGACGCAAGCCATTGAGCAACAAGAGTCACCACCAACGATAACGATGACAACTGTCGGCTGGGTCGCGTACGTGTTTTGCTAGGGTCCCTTGCGCACGCGGGTTGCTAGGGGACTCCTCTTCGTTCCGAGCTCAGTCTCAGTCTCAGTTTCTGTCTCTCGCTCTCTTTTTTCCCGTTGTCCTTTTGTTCGAGCCCTGCTCGCGCTGGCAGGTTTGACTTGTGGCCTTTTGAGTTCCTCATCGGAGCGTTCATGTAGGGCACACTTTGGTTTTATATTCACTGTCAGAGGGCGTCCGCCATCCATGCTGTCTCTTGCAAATGTATCTCGGTAAAGGTGGAACCTTTTTGACGTATTCCTGGGCGTGACGGGTGTCACAGACGTGATCATCCAGCTGGCCAGGGACGGCGGCAACGATCCTTGGTGTGCACGAGGTTTTACTTCTCGGATTTACTTCTCCGGCTGCATAGGCCGCAATTTTCCTTAGTCGAGTCGTAGATGTAGCCCGTACCCGCACCGCAGCCGCAGCTGGCAGTCGTAGTCGTAGTCGGTTGTGGTGGCGAGCTGTGGTGGTGGTGGTGGTGGTGAGCAGGAGGAGGAGCAAGAGGAGGAGGTGGAGTTGCTGCAGTAGCAGTAGCAGTAGCAGGACGACAACCACTAGAAACTCGCACTTACGGAGAGGAGGTAGGAGGAGCTGTAGCAGTGTCAGTAGCAAGCAGTCCAACTAGAAGTGTTGCGCTAGTAGCAGTGTCAGAGGGCTGTGGCCGTTTTCAAGACTCAAGCCGTAAGCTTTGGGTTGTGGCGAGGAGTCTTTCTTTGGCACTTCGCTGCTCCGTTTCTGCAGATTGATCCGATTGGCTCTTGGGCGGCACTCAGCCCTAATTCCCAAATCTCAGCGCTGCAGAGAGCTGATGAGCCTTCTAAGTCCTTCGAGAAGCCTCTAACCACGTCCGAGGTGCGCATCGTCAAGGTTTTCCGCTTGAAAGCCATGAAGGACTTGTGGATATCAGTGGTATTCAATGCAGCAAGAAGAATAGGAGCCAGAACGCTACAAACGATAGCATCAGCAGTCAGAGAAGGCTGCTAAGTCGGAAGCAGCATCATGCTCGAAAGCGAGTGCTAGTGATGAGAAGGATTTGCGGCTGATGGTCAAGGGGCTGATTGCTGGAGTGAAAACCTTGGTGATGGCATTCACGCTGCTTTTCACGGTGTTGTACGTCATCAGCGGCTTCGCCACGATGACCCTCGGAGCCTCGGCAACAATGGCTTAAGAACGAGTTTGTGCTTTTTTCTTGGGCTTTTAGGAAGATTGTAGAGATCCAGAGAGTCTTGGGCTCTGTTGGATTCTGTGTTTTTCTTGCAAGGTCAGAGCATCGGCTTGGACGACCAGCCGCAAATCGTGAGAGACTTGTTACCCTTCTTCAAGACGATCCCAGCCTCCATGTTTACGGCCTTCCGCTGCTTCACGGGAGAGTGCACGGACCACGACGGACGAACGATCCATTCCATTCTCGCCGAAGAGTTTGGGCCTGTCTTCATCTTCTCCTACGTTGCGAGCTATATGCTGGTGTCCATGGGGATTTTCAACGTGCGCCGCGGCTGCGGGTGCTGGTCTACGGTACGTCCGCTAGGGTTCCAGGGTTTAGGGCCGTCCCCTACTACTCTCGACCGCTCTCGTCCGGATTCCGATGGGCAGGGTTTACGGAAAGGGTTTAAGTCCTCTTCACCCTCCAGATTGGGCCAATTGTGGTTTTTTTCTGTTTCGGCAACTCCTTTACATGCCGCATCCAGGATTTTGGCAGTGTATGTCGACATCACGATGAAGGCTGCCAAGGCGAAGTTGAGAAGGGATAACACCTAGCGGACCTAGCTGATTTGAGTTGCAAAGAGTCGCGAGGGTCACACTAGCAGCAGCGGCAGCAAGTGGACAAGCACATGTAGTTGTCGCCGCCACAAGCGTAGAAGTCTTCGTTGCGCAGTCTTTGAATGCTCTTGCCACTTCAGCTGCCGCGACTAGGCAAGGCCACAAAGAATTCAATGCTCCTGCTATTGCTGCGCCGCTCCCCTGAGCTTTTCCCCCAATTTTTCCACTATTGCATCGGACAATACTAAGTCTACTCTATTGCTTTTCCTCAGCTTGTGGACGGACTCCCAGCAGGAGAACGACGCCGTCACTTTGGAGCAGCACTCGAAAGAGTCCATCAGGATGGGCTCCTTGAAGGGTAACACGAGCTTTTCACAAGGCAACAGGCACGTTTGATATTGTCTCGGCGATTGAGAAGCGTAACGTTCAAACATTCGCATTGCAAGTCCCTAGCGTTGCTCACCATCATTGAGTAGGTATGAAACCCGGCACGGACCACACCACCTGCATGTCTGCCCTAAGCCCTAAACACTAAACCGTAAACCCCTTCAAAACTGTCGGCGCAGGATCGCGCGCATCACGCGTGAACTGTTGAAGAAGTTTGCTGGGGCCTATCGGATGTTCCAGGAGATGGTTCCTCTGCCGCACAGCCGTTAAGGGCTCAGTGTGTGAGTCATGCGGGTTTCAAGATTTTAGCGTTGCCTTTAGTTTTCATTTGGCTTTGGGGCCTTGTACTTCTAGGGTTTATGGAAAGCCCAACATCTCATGTAGCAACAACCACGTGTAAGCGGCTCATTGTTCAGGATCTAGCCGACATAGTTTGGGGCGTACTGCTTAATCAAGGGGTGCTATGTTTCTTTGAGTGAGGGCCGAAAGCAGTTACACAGAAGCTTCGTGTGGTGTATATGTGTGATTTGCTGCCCAAACTTGCGAAGACGTACAAATTGACAAGGATGGGTAATGATGTGGCATGAAATCACACCCGTTGGTATCGTTCAACTTCATTTAGTGATCTACGCCCGGGTAGCGTTCATTCTGACGTGCAGTCTTACGAGTGATCGGGGCTTTAAAATTGGAGCATCTACATGTGGAATAGCAGGTTTGGACGTGCTGTGATGCCCCTGATGTGTGTCTTGTAGGTGCGCTTGTGAAATCGAGCGTCTACATGGGGATTGGCTTGTCCTGATGTGCTATGATGCCACTGGCTGCGATCTCGTGTATGTTTGGGACAGTTTTGCTTCTAAAATGCTGCCATGTCAAGTCGAGCGTCCACATGGTGATATGAAGTTGCCGGGATGTGGCTCGGGTGGCTTCTCATATTCCCAGCGCCGTGGCATCATTGCCATCGAATCGCACAGTTTTTCTTCAGTGGCGATGCCATGTCAAATTGCACCTCACACTGGGGATTGGCTACTTGTGCTGTGACTTTTTGGCATGCTTTTTGGCATGTGCTTGTGTGCTGTGACTCTGTGACTTTCGCCGGTTCGAGCATCACCATGTGGGAAAGCAGCATTGCAACGACTTTCGACGGCCTGCCGCGATTTAGAGTTAGAGCCACCACCAGATAACAGAAAGTAGATGTACATTCAACACATAAGAATTCGTGTAAGTATGGGGTCAAGAAAATAGACAGGCATATACATACAACATATAAAATGTCTGTCTGTCTGTCTGTCTGTCTGTCTGTCTGTCTGTCTGTAGGTCTGTATGTATGTATTTGTGTGTGTGTGTATGCATGCATGCATGCATCTATGCATCTATGCATGCGTGCATGTGTGCATTGCATGCAAGCATGCATGTACTTATGTATGTATGTATGTATCTATCTATCTATCTATCTATAATGTATGCGTGTATAGGTTTGCTTGCACATGTATGTACATACATACATACATACATACATGCATACATGCATGAATTCATACATACATACATACATACATACATACATATGTATATATATATATGTGCATGAATATACATACACACATAAACATAAACATATACATATACATATATATACATATATATATATATGTACATACAAGCAAACAAGCAAGCAACATATCGAATAAGTGAACAAAAACACAGAGACACACACGCATAAGCAATCAAGCACGCAAGCAAGCAAACAAGCAAGCAAGCAAGCAAGCAAGCAAGCAAGCACACAAGCAAACAAGCAAACAAGTACACAAGCAACAAGCAGCAAGCACACAAGCACGCAAGCAAGCAAGCCAGCCAGCAAGCAAGCAAGCATGCAAGCAAGCCAGCAAGCAAACAAGCACATGAACACACAAACACATAAACAAGCACACCAAGCAAACACACAAACACACCAAACACACAAAGCAAACAAAGCAAGCCAAGAGGCACGCAGACAACAAACATGAACATACGTAAACTTATGAAAAAGGGCGGATTAAACACACGAACACAGAAATCAGTGTGTGTTTACAGATCGTTAGAGATATAGACATAGATACAGAGAGAGAGAGAGAGAGAGAGAGAGTCTGCCCACTCCTCATCCCCGGAGCAAAGCAAAGCAAAGAGAGAGAGAGAGAGAGATAGAGAGAGAGAGAGAGATATATATATATACACACATACATACACATATACGTACACATACATACATACATTCATACATGCATACATACATACACATGCAGTGCCCCTGCTGCTTTCTGAGGAAGACGGGGATGGTGAGAAGTATCTGGACATCTCTAACCGAAAGAGCGACATGGTCTTTACGGACGGTGACGTCCACGAGCCCCGAATGGGATCCTACTTTCGTTGGGTTCTGGACTTCTTCTCAGTAGGGCCTTTAGTTACCTGCTGGTCTTCGAAACTGTTGAGAATTCGACCTCTCCTCTGAGCATGTGTCAAGTCTCACTGTTGTCATTTCTTGGCTTGAAGCGACCACGACGACGCTTGTCATGAGGCATCACGAGCTTGACAGACGTATTGTTCTCCGTTTGACCCGACCGAAAAATTAGAATCCTGGAGCTTCGAAACCGCAAGTCTCTCGCATGCCTGCAGCCAATGAGGAAGGCATCGCCATTACGAAGGAGCTGTTCCTCATCGTGATTCAGGCGGCTGGCCTTCAATGCAAGCCGCCCTTCGTGGGCCCGAAACTGTCAACAGCTCCCAAGTGATATCCCAAGCAGGGAAGTGTCCCCGAGGATGATTGGAGGATCATTGCTGAAGGCTGCTTCTTTGTTCGCATGTGCCCAGTCGCCCTGCTAGGACCGTCGTGTCCAGGATCTCATGGACGAGTTGGCGCCTGGGCTGACTGTTTGCTTTACACTTCACAAGCCCTTACAAGTCAAGACCACATACTATACCCTGCATTGTGATTGCTACCAGTACCACTGCTGCTTCTTTTGCGCCTGCTGAGATTTTGCTTTAGCAGCAATGGTGCTCTCGCGAGGAACTTCCGCCCGACCGGGCCAATCTCTTCGAGATTATCGATGCGGACGGCAGTGGAACTCTGCATGTGGCGGAGCTCGCCCCCGGCTCGGCTCGTACGATTGTGACAGCTCGTTGGGTTGCTTTCTTGAAAACGAGGCTTCATCGGTGCAGGTAATCCGCGTGTAAGAGCTCCGGGTTCAAGAGTCATGCTGGTTCGAACCCTTGCCGATAGCTTGGGCGACAGTAGAGTGAAAGAAAATACATCACAAGGTCAGAAACAGCTGGCAAAGAGGTTTGGGCTGGTTTGCAGCGGTTGCCAGACTTTGGTGGAAGTGCACGAGACATGTTCAGTGATGCAGAAGACCTTTTTGCTGCAGTTCGTGCCAGGTTACAGGCCACACAGCAAAGATTATGTGAGGCTAGGCAGAGCTGCGCGGGGACCTGCGGAGTTGAGGGGGTAAGTGAGAAAAGCTGGTGATGATGATTGATGGCGGTGTTGATGATCACGAGGACGCATGGTGGTGGCTGTGGCTGCTGCTGTTCGTGGTGGTGCTGGTGCTGGTGGCGGTGCTGCTGTTTGAGTACTGCCGTGATGAGGAATGTGGATCAGTGCATATGTTCATGCCAGGACGGAAGGATAAAGATATGTTTGCATACACGAATATGTTTTCGAGGAAAAGGGAAGGCAGCGGGATGATAGCAATCATGTCAGTGATGGAGATGAAGAGCAAGATCAATGATATATTGAAGATGAAGCAAAGCAATGGTGATGGTGATAATGTAGCAGCACGTTTTGAGAATGCTGATCAGGATGAGATGCGCGCATGGTCAGTTTCTCTTCGCGAAACCGCGTGCCAGTCGCGGGTGCTATCATCAGTGTTCTGCGTGTGGGGCGGAAGCGCTGCATCTTGAGGTCCACGGCCTGTTGAAAATCCGCGGCGAGATCAACAAGAGCGATGTCGTGGCTGGTCTCCTGGCGACCAAGGCACGCAGTTCTACAAAAAGATGTATCGGTTGAGACCAAGGGAATGGGTGATGGGCGAGCACCACATTCAGTGCCGCCAAGAGTAGTTGTCGTCGGCACGGCACAGCATCTAAATCCCCAGTGGTCCGATCTGTCTTGGTCGTCTTGCTCTCCCAGTCGCCTTGGCAGTATGAGCTTATTAGCTGCACCAACATAGAAGCATACCACTTGCCCTCTGTCCTGCAGGCTTGCTACGACAAGGTCGCGGAGCTGAAGGAGGAGACGGAAGACAAGCATGAAAACAAGCGCAAGCTCCGCAAAAAAAACGAATCCCGAAGCCCGGAGCCCCCAAAACGCGACCCCCACCCCCCCCAAAAAAAAACGGAAAAGCCAGAGGAGCAAGAGGAGAGCCTCTCTGCGGTCCGTAGCCAACTGGCGGCAACTCGGAGAGCAGAGCCAGAAGCGGTTTGGGTTTGGTGGGTTTTTTTTTGCAGGAACTTCTCTTCTAAGTCGGGTGCTCTCTGCTTGCCTTTAGAAGGGGTCCCATGGGGGCTGTTGCAAGATGATGGAGGCTTTGGAGCTTCAGAGTTTCGTGCTTTTTTGTTTTTCCCGCCTAAACCCTAAACCCTAAACCCAAAATCCTAAACCCTAAACCTGGCAGGTGCTGCATTCGGAGATGCTGCGGCGCCGACACAGCGGCTCCACGTGCCCTTCGGCTCCCGACGCTCCCGAGGCTCTCCTGATGCAGGCGCAGGACCTCCGCTGGACATTTGTTTCAATCGGGTTTTCGGGTTTAGGGGTGTAGGGTTTAGGGGTGTAGGGGTTTGGGGGTTTAAGGGTTTAGGGTTTAGGAGTTCAGGAGTTTAGGGGGTTTACGGGTTTATAAAGCAGATGGAGCTTGACAGGTCCTCCAGGAAGAGGGGGATCAGCCGCCAGAGCTCCTGGATCCCCCTCTCTCGAAGCCACGGCTGCTGATGTCGCCGGCGCCGTCCGGCGTGGCGAGCCTGACACATCCTGACACACTGGGAAGGGGGTTTTAGGGTTCTAAGTTCTGAGCAGGGTATTGGTAGTTCCCCTTGGCAGCTGATACTTCGTGTGCAGCCGAAGAGGTCAAGGAAAGAAGGTGCCACAAGCCCGCAACCCTGGTGAGAGTGGCAAGGCGTGTCCGTAGAACTCCACCAGGTTCCGCTGAAGCCTCAGCTGATCAACGACGACGGCGAAGCTTCTCGGTGCAAGTTCGGTGCATGTCTGCTCCTCTGAGCGCTGACGCCCAAAAGCTCAAAAAATCCCAGAAGGGCTGAAGGCCCTGTAAAGTCTCCCGCAAGCGAGCAGCACCGAACACAAGGGCCCTGGTCTTGCACTTGGCTCCCTCTGAGGATCCGCCAGCTCCGGGCGTTTGACGAGGAACGGGGCGGGGTTTGGGGCGCTTGTTGGGGGATTACTTGCGCACTAAGGCTGAAAGATCTCTTCATCAAGGATCCCTATAGCAAGGCAAGCCGACGACTACTCCGTGAGGGCGAATGATATGACTCCTCATGATGAATCGAGTATCGCAGCAGGGAATTATAATGTTCCAGATGCAACCATTCATAAGAAGATCCATGTGGCCTTTATCGCAGACTGCATGGTCGCCGAGAAACCAGACCTCAAGCTCCAAGAGCTGCCTCGAGCCTGCTAGACTCCTCGAAAGACTGGTGGATGAGCTTCCCCTAACCTCCCAGGTACCTACTATATAGGGCTCTAGGGGCTCTAGTACCCTATGTAGTAGGTACCTGGGGAGTCAGGGTTCTATGAGCACCCCCCAAACCCTAAGCAAAAAGGGGCCCCAAGCTAAATCCCGCTGCCAGGAGCTGGACGGGCTTGGCTAGTCTGAGCATTTCATGGCCTGCTCGCCTGGGGTCAGGTTTCCCAAAGCCAGTGATGAAAACATGCATCGTCCTCGAAAGCACCAAAGCCAAGCAATGAAACTCCTATCTCTTCCACCTTGAGACGAGGGTGCAAGGCTGCTGCAGGTCCTTTGAGCAGCGGTGTTTACGTGAGAAGCCTGGATGGCTTTTGTCTGCGCGCTACTGTGCAGGATTGCTGCATGCATAAGATGCATGCCACGCCTTCAGCTAGCTTCTGATTTGGAGTGTAGCTTAAACTAAACTGCAAAGTTGGTGGAGGGCAGACTGCCTTGAAATCACGCCGACGAACCACGAGCCGGTGATGCCGACCCCCAGGGGGCCGCCGGCCACAGACTGACTCAATGTTCACATGCCTTGTCTTGTCGTGTTCTGCTACCTTTGGATTTGTTACGCTCTGGTAGAGATTCTTTTTGCCACATGCCGCTTCTCTTTTTCAGACAGAAGAGAGCAGCAGTCGCTCCTTCCGAGCTTCCCAAAGGGAAGTTGTTTGCATGAAAAACCGCGGAGGAGCACCCGAACCAGACCGTTGGCCAAAGGGGTCCACGGTTATAAGCCCTCTATTCCGGGACCCACGGTGCCTACGTTCGGGCCTTTCCTTGGCTTCTCAGCTCGTAGGTGAAAGGCATGCAAGATCTTCACGCCGGAAACCTGCTTGAGCAATGCTGGAAGTCAGATGCTTTCCCGATCTAGCCTCCGCAGTCCACGCAGAGCCCGCTCAGAGACCGGCCATGCCCGCGTCGTAGACCTGCCATGCTTCCTGGCTGCGGTGTGTGACGCACTCTCCCAGTCACTGCCTCGGGTGTTGGGGTGCTTAGACCGCGAAGGCAGCTGACGGGTCTATCGTGCCACAGCTTCTCTGTCCTGGCATCGTGCATCAACGGACGACAACGCAGCATCTGTAGAGACTGCATACAGTTCACAACAGTGTTTTGTTAAGGTATTGAAAGACCAAGTCCAGATAGATTCATATATAGATAGGTCTATTCCAGGAACGTCATGCATGAATGAAAAATGCATAAAGCACACTGGGCACAATGCCTCGAGAATTAGTTATATATATATATGTATACATATCTATATATATATATATATGTATATATATATATAGATGAAACCAGACAGATAGTCAGTTAAGCAAATCAGAAGATACATAGACAAGCAAGTAAACGTTACACAAGTACTGAAGTAAATAGGTCAATATAGGGGAAGCGGACATACTCAAGATGTAAGCGGAATAGACAAAGATTGCATGACTGCCTGCCTACCTACCTACCTACCTACCTACCTACCTACCTACCTCCCTGCCTACCTACCTACCTACCTACCTACCTACCGACCTACCTACCTACCTGCCTCCCTCCCTACCTACCTAC